TTGTAGGTAACGTGTTTATGGTAAGAGATAAATTTTCTACTATTGATCCAATGTAGAAGACGAATGGTTACCTGATATTGTCTTTGAAAAATTTATTTTCGATTGCAACTCCATATCGTATGCATTTGTTAATATTAAAATTTGTGTTCCTTGTGTCCTTCTTGTGATTACGGATTCTTTGGTGCCCTTTGATTTCTCCCCTCAGTGGTGTTGCCTCGTCGGAGGACTTGGAGTTAGTGCATAGTGAGCTGTGCTATGAGCCGACAAATATTTTGTTTATTATAGCACTGTTTTTTTTTTTTTTTTTCCTTTCAATTATTATTATTATTCTAAATTATGTATTTATTTGATTGACTAACTTACTAATTTTCTTCGTAAGAGTTATAATTTTTTATTGGAAAAACAATTCTAGTCATCGATCCTAGGAGAACGACTCCCCAACAAAAATAAGTAAAAGACACGCAAAGCTTATTTGCAATATATTTCAAAATATTTGTATCAAACATGTTTAAGCTGTAGTATTATGCCAATATTTTATATACCTCACAATATTTTGCACATGATTAAAAAAAATTTACCATTGTAATCACAACTAATAGCATATTCCTTTGGTAGGATTAAAACTCATTATTATCCTTAATTAGTATTATTATAGTAATTTTTATGATTATTATATTCTATATATGAGATAGAATATAATAATCAAATCCATCCATCCACTTATCATCGGCTATAACTAAGCAACATGATTCTTCCTCCAATCGTTTTTACTATATATTTTTATCCTTAAAAAATATATGAACCATATATTCATTTTTATTTAATAATCCTTTCTCCAGGAAAGAGTTACATCTACTTTTGGCACGAAATTAAGAAATATTGTATTATAATGATAGTTGGTGGATTTTCAAATTAAAAGATAAATTTGACATTTAACTTTATTTGTAATGAAATGATATTTGTATAAACAAATGTGATGAAAATGACATTTGTAATGAGTAGTAAAATAGATAATTATTAAAAAGAAACGTAACTATTGTAAGTGAACATTCAAAAATAAAAAATATAACTCTTGTAGCTAAACGAAATGAGTATATTATATATAAAAATTATTTTTAATAAAAGTATTATTTCAACTATAATTTATACTACATTAAATAAATTTTAATTTTAAATCTTTATTATCCCAAAATATGCATTTTTAAAATTTTGAGTTTAAAGTATTTTTATATTAAATATAAACAAATATGTAAATAATATTAAAAAGATAATAAAAATTATCTTTTAGTCTCGTATATTACCTTTTATCATTTTAGAATTATAATTACATCATGTCACTTGACATCTACACAATTTTTGGCCAATCATGACACTTACGGTAGCGCATCATTGTTGTCACTTTTTTTTTTTTTTTTTTAATTGTGAGACTGATTCAATATATGTTATGATTATAAAATAATAGAAGATTGCGATATAAGACTAAAAAGTAATTTTTCTAAATAATATTTTATGTTAAATTATTTTTTAAAATAAATAAAACATATTATATTTTTTATAATATTGATCAAAGATTGTGTCAAAAAAATTTTTGTTGTACGAAGGAAACTCATACAACCAAACAATCGAATATGACAAACAATCCTATTTATATAAAAATACATTAAAAAACACTAAAATAAAAATGTGTTGGTACAACAAATTCAATATATACTCCCTCCGTCCTTTATCAATCTATTTATTTTTTTAATTTGGTTCGTCCCATAACAAAGTATCTATTTTTTTATTTTTTTTTAGCAATTGTACAATCTACCTAACATTACAAATACCCTTCTAATTTACAATATATTACACAAATGTCATTACCTTAAATATCATACAATACTGATAAGGGTAATTTAGTCTTTTTATCTTTATTTCTACTTTATTCTATTATAATACTAATATTTCTAAAATTTTATGAAAAAAACAAATAGATATATAGACATGGAATGTAAGGAGTATTAGTGAAAATAATTCAATTGAATGCTTTTCTTACATGCTATCTAATTTTCATGATTAGATAATAAAGAAAACAAAAAATAAGTACAACATTATTGAATCTTTTTTTTTTCTTTTTAAATGTTTTTTAGGCATTTAGTGACATTTTAGATATTCGATTTTATATTTATATTTATATTTAGTTTTATTTATATATTAAAGTACTTAAATTTGAGTATGTTGAGTATTTTTTGTATTGCTCATATATAGATAATTTATTTTGATGATGTATACTACAATCATTATTTTTTTTTCAAAATTTTTAACATTTTTAAAACAATATTTTGTTTGCCATACATACACAGATACATTTAACGAGCAATTGCCAGAGCATGATAATAATTTTGTTGTCATCTCAACACTTAATCCAAATAAAAAACACCTAATCCATTATGCTATTGCTAAATATCAATAATCAAAATAAATTTATGTATTTTAAAATTACATCTCAATAAAATATATCTAAGAAAAATAGCAAATTATAGAAAATAAAATTTTATATATAATACAACTAAATAAAAATATATATATTTATACATAATTAATATAAAAAAAACTTAATCTATATCAATATATTTATTTATCAAAAAAAATAAATTATAAAAAGAGGATATTAAGTGCCTTTGGCAATTAGCTGATTCAATTAGCGATTTGTATTAAAGTGCTCGGTAAAACAACTATTTGACATTAATTGTTTATATATAAAATGACTATTAAGGACATTGATATGTTATTTTTTAAAATATTTAATTTTGTTCATTTTGATTTGAAATTTATGAGAATTTTTGTTATTAATTATTAAAAATTATAAAAATATTATAAAATATTTATTTTTATTTTTATCATTTTAGATATGAGAAAATTAGTTTTACTAAAAAATAATAACTTTTTATTGAAATTATATAAAATATAAAATAGTAAATCTTCGTATATATATTTTTATTATGTTAATTATTGTTTTAATATATATAAATAAATTAATAACCTTTTTTTTCTATTTGATTTAGTTTTAAAAAAATATATATATTTTACAAATAAAATAATTTATATGTAATAATTAATAATAGTAATTATTTTAAATTTACACAAATAAAAATATAATTTAATAAATTAAATGTAATAAAATAATTAATAAATACTGCTATAAAAATATTTTTATATGTATAAAATAAATAATTAAATTTTAAGAATAAATAAGGAATAAATAAAATTAAAATGTAAAAGCTTTTTCAAAATGTTGGGTAGATGAACTTTTCATAAATTAGTTTTTTTTGGTCCAAACAGCTCTTTCAAAAAACTAATTTACTAAACACCTAAATTAACGTTTTGACTGGTCAAATAAATAAAAATTATTCAATAAACTAAAAACTCTTAAAAAATTATTTCCCAAACACCCTCTACATCTTGAAAATATTTGAAAATAAAAATTAAAAGCATAATACTAACCATAACTGAAAACCTAACTAAACAGAAATGAGTGCACTACTTAATAAATATGCCAAAAATCAGATAATAATTTTGCCACTTTAGCAAACACAACTTCGGCATAGAAGCCAATTATTTTTAGATAAACCTTTTTCTGTCTATTACAAATATAACAAAAAATAAATAATAATAATAAATTAATTAAACAACCACATCCAAATCATTAGTGTAGATTTACTTCATTTAAGACAAATCATACTAAATCGACCATTTGCGACAGGTGACCTGAAACGTCAAGAATTTGAACTCATCACCTCAAAATCACAAATCCAACCCGAAATAAATTTGTTTGTAGTAAAAGCCATTGTGTGTGTATTTGTTTGCCTCTATTTGAGACTGGACTAACAAGCCAATAGAAGATTTTTTATAAGTAAAAATCCATTGTATTTGCTGTGAAACCCACCTCTCACTGCTCTTTTACCTGATTGCTAAAAAAATTGTACTATCTCTGTTCTACCGTAGATGATTTTTTTTTTTTTTTTTTTTTTTTTTTTTTTTTTTTACGTTTCACAAAAGATGATTCATTTATATTTTTGGTAACTTTATCAATCTTAAACATATTTAACAAATATAAATCAAAGGATGTGTTTGTTTGGGGGATTGGATTTCTAATCCACTATTCATCCTATTTTTTTCTCCAAAAAATATCAAATAAAACACTTATTTTTTATTTTTTATATTATACTAAAAATCAATTTTACATTCAAAATATCACATCTAACACCTATTTATAAATTCAAAATTTTTAACAAATACACCCTTAATTAAACTTCTAACATCTTACGTAGGATTCACTCAAAATCCTTTTATTTCCGTCTCTCTCCTTAATTAACATAATTCTTTATCTACCCTTAAAACTCCTTATTTTTTATGAAACTAATTTATGGTAATAATTATCCATATTGCATGAGATATATCAATAATATTATTTATATAAAAAATAATAAACTAATATCATGAACTTATTATTAGTAACTTACTAATTTACACTATCTAAAAACCGTATTCCTAATAAAAAAGTTCATCCCGTGCGGAGGGAGCACATAATAAAGCATCAATCAAGGTTGCAATAATATTATGCATTCAAAAGAATTTAAAAATCTTACCCGATTAATAAAAGATCACATTAAGATTGCATATATCAACCAATTTAATTAAATGAATCAGATTCAAATAAAAAAATTTCTAACCCGTCTATAACCGACCCGAACCTGACCTAATTCATTTGTCAATCCTACTAGAAGAATTTTCTTCCAATCCCCCTAATTGTCGTCACAATTTGAAAACCCATTTCTTCTTTTCCTATGTTCTTTCCCATCTCAACAACATCGAATCTTCTCCACAGTCGTTTTTACTATCAATCAGCAGTGATTGGAGAAATTTCATTTTGAGCAAAGTTCAACTCTGTCACTTATTCGTTTGAGGCAAAATCATCATATACTTGACCAAGAGACAACAAATCAAATGGAAGAATAAGGTGAAAACAAAACTAGAAAACTGAATAAAAATAAGAGCCATGACTGACATGAAATACATATAGCCAAAAAGCCAATGCCACAACTACAGTAAAACAAAACTGAAAATTTCTCAATAAATATAAGTTAGGGATAGATAGATAGATAGATAGATAGATAGATAGCAGCCAAGCAAGCCCAAGCCAATATTCGATTTGTGGGTATCGAAAAACTTGAAAAAGCAAACAACTTTCTAAACCAAACTGCAAACCTACGTACCTTTCCTTTCACATCCTGTCTTCTCTCCTTCGCGGGGCGCAAGTGATGATTTCGTCGACCCTCAGGATCATCTCTGCAGCTTCAGTTGCAGAGAGCAGAACTGCCTGCTTCACTTTGAACGCCTCGGAGATTCCTAGCTCCGCCATGTCTCCAACCTGCAAACAAATATTAGAAAAACATTTAATGTGATGATAAGAATCGAAACCACCACAGGGCGCTGCTGCTACTTACAGATCCAGTGATGACATCGATCCCTGCATTGCTTTCCTCCTTGTGGTGCTCTGCGCGAAGCTGGGCGACTAATTCGGCACTGTCCAGACCAGCATTATCAGCGATTATAGTTGGAATAGCCACTAGTGCCCTTGAAAAAGCTTCGATGGCGTGGGATTTCTTCCCGGGAGTCTTTCTAGCTAGCTCGTCGACAGCCTTTGCCATTACCATCTCAGGCCACCCACCCCCGAGCAAAACCCTGCTGTCATTCACTGTCTGGGATAGAACGCACAAGGCGTCGTGGAGGGATCTCTCAGCCTCATCCAACATGTGCGGGCTGCAAGAACAATAGATACAAATATGAACAAAACAAACTTCGAACGGGTAGATTGTGGATAGCATCATAATAACCATAATTTTCATTTTCTTTCCCAGATATACTCGAAACTCAAGATTAGTGTAGAGTTGCGCAGGGAATAATTAGTTAGAAAAATTATCAACAAAGATACCTTGCGCCTCTCAATACGATAGTGCAAGCTTGACCCAATTCAACTCCTGAAAAATGGATCAGCTTGTCCTCACCAATCATTATTTCTTCGATCAGCTCACATTGCCCGAGTTTGACAGATTCCGGATTATCAAAAGTAGATGCTATCTCACCACCAGTAACAAGAGCTAGTCGCTCAATACCATCAAAATCCGCATGCTCTATTGCCAATACCCCCGCGTCAGCAAATAGTTCTTCTGGGAAATTGTAAATCAATTGTCGGTTAACAAAGCAGTTTATCCCGTGATCAATAATCTTCTGCACCTTTTCCCTCATCTTTTGTTTTTCAGCCACTTCGATTTCAGCAACCTTAGACATGGAATCAACCCGGACACGTGCCCCATAAATTTTCACTTTATCAGTATCCATGGCAGTGTTTGCAACCAAAATCTTTGCATTCTCAATCCTTTTTGGTTGGCCAACACCAATTTTTTTGTCGAGGATAAAACTGGATGATGAAGAATGGATATCAATCAACATGGTGCAAAATTACATAAGAGCAGACAACCAAACGCAAACAGTAGAACACACTTGTATATTTTCAATGGCAATTTGGCCTACCCCTCATCAAGAAATGAATCTTTCAAAGATCCCCCAGGTTTCTTTATGATTTGAATGGATTCCAAATTTGTACTCCCCTGTATTTTCAATAATAATAACATACCATAAATGCATGATTGAAAACAACTATTCCAAGAAGCAGCCAAAAGGGTTAATAAAAGTAGTCACTAGAAGTATTGATATAGCAGGGATACACAGCAATAGGCTCATAACAGGGAATAGATAAATTACCGACATCAACATTGTTGGCCAACTACAGCAAAGACCATTTAACATAATTGATTGAAAAGTAAAATTAAAAAAATTCACATCCAGGATCAACGAGTCCACCTCAGATAATATATTACAGCAATCGCAGACAATAGTCAAAATGAGAAAAATAACATACACAGTTACACACATCTTAAGAGAAACGCCACAGCAGACACTGAATCTTCAAGAACAATTAACACCGAGACAACAGAAACCATGGAAAATTAAAATTCCTAACTTATTCTGTTACATGAAGTCCCTGAATCCATACGCAGTTATGTAACCTTGTACTTTATATAAATAATATTCCACTATAGAATTCCTCCCATTTGATATATAGCTAAATAAATCACACAGAGTATTGACAAGTTAAAAGAGATGCAAAAAGACCACTTTCACCTAGAAAGATGATTTTAGTTGGTCGATAACAAGTCAATTAACAGATAAGACCATACCTTTAGCCTCATGACAGCATCAACAGCAAGTTCAGCGAAATGTTCCTTGTCCTGTGAAAGAATCTTGGAACTCAAAGTAGTCATTGCAATCTTCATCAAGTCTGATTTGAATTTCTCTGAACATACACCATCAAATTAACCAAACAAATTATGAAGAAAACTAAGCCACCCACTTAAAAGAAGATGAAGAGCTTTGCAAGCAATCTGCTGCAAGTTAATGTTATGTTTTAGCTATTTTCTTATAGAAATTAGACATCTAAATGCTTTAGCAAATGTCATGGTAATATGTGTTCACCATGATACTTAGTTTCTTAAGATTTTCATAACAGTTAAATTATCCACATAATTTCAGAAGAGGTACTATGGACATGATGCTACATTTTACAATAGAATGGACTAAATAATGATCACTAAGCAAAGACTAGAGAATATTACCAGCATCAAGTTTGTTATCCACCACTTTCTCCACCAATGCATTTCTGGCACATTCGGCTGCCATACGATACCCTGCCATATATGCCAAAATTATTATTATCACTGGAGGGATTAATAATGGTATAGGAATCCATTTTTGGGCGTAAGGAATGGATTTTATTTGCATGACTGTACTAACATAATAACAGACCACACATACCCATGAAATCACCAAATTTAAAACTGGCCCCAATTGATGATATTATCCGATATCAAGAAGGATGTTTGACAAAAGCAGAAGTAAAATGAGAAGGGACATAATTAACACAGTGAATAATATACACCCATTGATAGCTACCAAATTATAATCATTTCTCCAGTTCATTGTCCAAGTATACCAAATTATATATAACCTTCTATAATTAAGGTGCAGATAAAATTAAAAATAAATTATAATGGAACAAAAAAATATAGAAACATATCCAAACCTGAAATGATGGTCATTGGATGAATTTTGGAATTTACCAGCTTCTCTGCCTCCCTCAAAAGCTCCCCAGCTAATACAACAACAGAAGTTGTGCCATCACCAACTTCATCATCTTGAACCTTGGAGATATCTGCAATTTACTTAAGGCTTCACAAAGTTTTTTAATGTGTGATTCAACTTAATGTTAATGGCAGTAATGAACTCAGTACATGATGTGAGAAGGAAAAAGTAAAATAAAAAAGATGGCAAGAGCCCATTTCATGGCTGCCATTTCTATACTTGTCATCATTTAACATATTACCTTATGTAATTATGTTAAATTCGACATTTAATCCAGCTCATTTTTGCCATACAGAATGATTAGACAGTTCTACATAAATCTATCCTATTATATTTCAACGGAACTGTACTATTATTTCATCCACCACTGCTGTGCTATAAATAACATCTGGATAAAAGTAGCCATTAAAACAGGTAGAGAGCTCTGCCAAGAGTATTAACACTAAATGTAACACTCCTTAAACTAAATAATAATTGTCATCAAGGATACCAACAAGGACTTTGGCAGCAGGGTTGTCAATGTGCAGGGACTTTAAGATGGTTGCTCCATCATTTGTGACTGTGACGCTATGCCCTCTTCCAGTAGATTGTAAAATCTTATCCTACAGAGAAGATGCACTGTTATTGGATCTAGAAGATTAGCACAAGAAATGTCATCAGTCGGTAGTGCAACCTATCACTCTTTTTTGATCCAAGACAAAAGGAAGATAAATAGAAGCTCTTCTCTCTTAAACTAGCTCGCACGCTGTAATATTAGGGAATGAAAAGCATAAGCTAGTTTTCTCAATCAGATCCAAAGCATTTACAGAAAATCTCCTCACCATGCCCTTAGGCCCCAATGTGGTCTTAACCAAGTCAGCAATTGCCATAGCTCCGACAAAGGAGGCCTGATTCACAAACACAGAACATAGATGTCAATTGAACAGCTCTTAAATTAATTATAATTTCCACAATACTATCTTGCAACAGCAAAACTACATTCAATCTTACAGATTTATAAGACTCACCATTCTTGCCCGCTCACCCTTTTCTTCAGTAGCCTCATCCTTAAGAAGCTTTTCAATCTATAAAAGTCAAAATCAAATGAATACCCACAGACACGAATCCTAACACAATTAGGAATTGAAGGTAGGCTGATAAACTTGCAAAACTTAACATACCGCCATGGTACAAGAGTTGAGAATAAAAATCTAAAAGCACTTGCCTCTGAGTAGATCCCCTGTGGAGAGGAAAAAGCAATTCTATATTATAAGCACTAATACGAGCATATAAAGAACAACGACATTTTAATCAATGGTTACAGACATCTTCGGTAGCAATAAAACCCTAGAGCACCTAAAGAACTCATTCGAATTACAATAGCAGCACAAAACCTAAACTTTAGGTGAAAAACACCTGCATTAACAAATCCAAAACCCCAATCGGGCCAATGACACCCACACCCACGAAAGAAACACACACAAAGCCTCGGAAATGAAACATGCGGCGGCAGCCATTTGAGTGACGCCGAAGTGGAATCATCCACTCACTGGCAACCTCAGAACATCATTTCGAACAACAACAACAGTTTGGAGATCCAACACCAATACTATCGAAATAACAGGGAGATGCACAAATCCACAACGCGAATCCGAAAACGAACCTCGTCGTAGCAGCACACAAGCGTAGAGTGCGAAGACTGCGAATCCTGCGCCTGCGTGGGGTGGGGGTTTGGTTTTGTAGTTGAGTACTAGAAGGGTTTGGAACTCAACTCCCGCTATTCCCCTCGATCAACGGACGTCAAAATCGACGGCCAGATTTTACTGATAAATCGGTTACACCTTGGATCGACTTCAATAACTCCTTTTTTATTTGATCTTTTTTTTTTTAATGGTATTTTTATTTTGCATCACAAATGAGAGCACTAACAAGTAAGGGAAGGTTGTCAATTGATGTTTGCGGATCGGATTGTGTTCGTGTCAAGTTAATGCCATGGGTGTAACAAAAAAAAATTATCAACCGAATTCGACCGAATTCGACCGAATTCGATATTTCACCTGAAATTTTAGACCTAAATACGATATGAATTATTTCGGGTCGAGTTCAAGTCACTTGAAATTCGAACAAACCCGACATAAAACTGACCTGAAAATTTTAAAAATAAATTAAATTAACCTAAAAATATTCATTTTTATTTTAATTTTAACCTAAAAAAAAATAACACGAAACTCGAAATTTGACTGATTTTTATATTTTGGGTTATCAAGTCAACCCGAAATACAATATAATTTTTTTTGTTTCAGGTTCGAGTCTACCTGAATTTTTGCAAACCTGAAATACCCAAACCTGAACCTAAAAAATTTCAGGTCGAATGTGTTTTGTTTTTCGGGTCGGGTTTACTTTTGACATCCCTAGTATATTGGTTGAAAAAATTGAATTTGGCTTTCGGTTTGGGTTTGGATTAAATTTGTATTTTAAGATAAAAATTGAATTTTTGTGTTTTTTTTTTAATACGTAGATTTGGTTTGAGTTTTGGATATTTTGATATGAATTGATTTGATAAGTAATAAATATAATGATGTAAATGTTTATTAAATTAATAATAATATGATTTGTACTCCGTATGTTCCACACAATGGACACTATTTCCATTTCTGTCCGTACCGTAACAATTATACCTTTTTATTTTTGGTAAAAATTATTAAACCAAAACATATTTAACAAATATAAATCAATTTAATTAACTATATACCATAAAAAAAAATATATATTTTTATTTATATTTAAAACTATACATCTTTTATAAAATAGATTTATGTTAATTATAAATAAACAAAAATATTTTTTTATTTACATTATAGAAGATTTAATGATATCCATATGGCATATATTTTTTAATTGCTATATAATTTTTAAATATTTAAACACACATTTTATTTTTTTTAATCATATATATTAAATTTACTTTAAAACTATAAATATTATTAATTATACAAAAATAATATAATAATATCATAACTAATTATTATTAACTAATTAAACATCTTTACCTTAAATACTGTATCCCTAATCAAATGGTTCAATTCCGGTGGGACGAAGGAAATATTAATTTATATTAATCATAAATATATATTAATATTTTTTCTATAAAAATATAAAATTTTATTCTATACAAAATCATATTTATATTATATATATTATTAACTATAATTATTAAAATAATTATACAATTGATTTGTTGTATTTTTGTGTAGAAGTGCGGATCTTTTACCTATAAAATTTTTTCTTTAAAAAATATTATAAAACAAAGCAACTAAAAGTCGCAAGAAAGCATAACTTGTGTGGAAGGACTTCAAACATGTTGGGAGGTTTCGCAGCCAAACTATTATGCATAGTAACTGTACAATAGTTTTGGCCAAATTTGTGTAGGAGAAACACACCCTTAACAATAATAGAAAGAATACACAGAGAAAATGTACTTTAAGATTGATTTAAGTTTAATTTTAATTTGAATATTTTTATAGTTTTTAAAATATGTTTGTTTGGTACAGTAGATTTTATTTGGATTATGAGGAATTTCACTATTAATTTATTCTTTCTTCATATTATATATATTTTTTTCAATTCTTGTTACATTCTTTTTTTTCTCTTCCAACTTTTGCCACCATGAGGTGAATCACATTTCGATCGCCATTAATAAATATACATATCTTCGTCGCGGGCGGGTTGCTTCCTCTGTCGTCGCCGGCGAGCTCTTGGTGAGGAGACCTTAGAAGTTGTTGCTAAAACAAACGGGGGAGGGGAGGATCGACCCGTTCAGTAGAATTCCGACGACAAGTTTGAAATCTTAATGCAGGGCAAGGCATATCTCGTTGAATTCTGACCGTATCTTGACATAGCTTGGAGCAAAGATTCTTGAACATCTGTCCGGCTAGTGATTTGGTAAAGATGTCCACAATATGTTATTTGCTCTTCGCATATGTAGGGATAATGAATCGATTCTTGTAGTGATGTCAAACGTGGTGACATGCAATCTCAATGTGTTTTGTCCTCTCGTGGAAGACTGAATTTTCAATCATTTGTATTGTTGTTTGATTATCACACTAGAATGAAATGGGTGCGACCACATCTACTTGTAATGCCTCAAGTAAATATGATACCCATAATAGCTCACCTGTGGTTGAACTCATGTTGCGGTACTCTGCTTTTGCACTCTGCTTTTGCTGTGAAGACTGTAGGCCTTCCATGATACTAGATTACTTCCAAGAAAAATTCTAGTGATAGGTGCATAATTTCGAGAGTTAATACAGGTTCCCCAATCAACATCAACATATGCTTTATAAGTTAAGAGAAAACTTCGTCTCACCATAGTGTTTTGTCATCTCAACTAGAGTTGACAAAAATTGATCCGACACGACAATTCGACACGAAATAATTGGGTTTAGATCAAAGATTTCAACCTGATTATGTATACGGGTTGACACAAACCCAATACGATAGTAAACAGATCGGATTAGGATTGAGGCTTAGACCTGACCGATCCGATAGATTTGAAAAACTTTTACCATTTTTAAAGTTCAACTTAAAATTGGATCCAAACCAAACATATTATTAAAATTTATGTCTTTTACTCAAAAATATTAGTATAATAAAATAATAAATAAATAAAACTCAAAATATATTTTTATATATAATTTATATTGTTAAAAATGATATCTTTTCATATATTATTAATATATTATCCAACCAATCTTTGAGTCTGGATAGGGGTTTACCACTAGACCCGAGATCTGAGATCCAATACGGGTACATAACATCCTACCCATATCCGAGTAATTAAACCCCAACCCGAAATAAATGGCAACTGTTTTCATTCCTAAATACCTTGAAGTCTTTTATAATTTTTGCTAGTCTCTCCACCTCCTCCATTGTTTTGAAGTCTATTTCGATAAGATCTCAAACATCAAATGAACCCAATAAAATTTTCATTTGTATATTATCTAACATCCATCTATTGCACGGCTTCAGTCTGATTAAATAAATAAAAACATAACAAATTAATTACTACAATTCAAAATTACAAATAAATTCGAAAAAATACCAAAAAAAATAAATGACCTTGAGCTAAGGTCATTCCACTCAAACAATGAGTTCTAAAAATCACAGCCTTGAAAATACTTACCGATATGCATATGATTGTGTACCAATTCAGTACACAAACACCACAGAGGGCCATTGTAAATAACTAACTCCTCCACAGCCATCATCAGCAGCAGCCATGGCAGATCCTTCTAGAAGGGACGCGTCCGTCGGCCGCTGGCCCGGCCGCAGAGAAGAGCGTTCTTCGGGATTGGATACTCGTCCCTCAGCGACGAGGATGGCGTGTAAACCCTCAGATAGAGTTGCTGTCCGAGGTACTGCCGAGCCCAGAACTCTGATCTCAGGTTCCACATTCCGGCGTTGTCGAGCGCCAAGTATATCGCTGTCCATGAATTCGGGTACACCTGTAATAACCAATGTGTAAGAAATTTAAGATATTAACAATGCAGGGAGAGGGCCTCGGCCTGTTGTAATGATACAAGCACGGCCGCATTCACCTGGACGGTGCACCTGGAGACGGCATCGCGGAGATTGTATCCGTTTCTGCTGTCCGACTGCCACTGACCTCCATCCATTCTGTGTGAAAAATCGAGAAGATTGTTAGACTGAAAGGAACGTAATATAAATGTAATAATCCCTCCGACTCGATACAATAGCCTTGTTTACCATTTTTGTCCGTCCCACGATAGTCTCATTTTCGTAAATAACTATATCACTATAAAAGTATCCCTGTTTTTTCATTATTATTACACAATTGCCACTAATTTTTACACTAAGACACTCATAAGGGCAAAAAGGTCTTTTACTCGTACTTTTCATCAACTATCAATATAATATCAAAATTCTTTAAATCCCGTGTCTAACATAACTAAGACTATAGTTCTGGAACAGAAGGAGTACATGTTATATATATAAAAATAGTCGGGGTTTAAAATTGAGGTTAATCAACACCGTACTGATTACCTCAATCAGCACATGAAAATATAACAATCAGCATGCTAATATTGTATCCCGCATGTGCTGTATAGAGTTCTAGCATGTACTGTGTTCTGTAATTCTTTTTTCCAATATGTGTTGCGTTGATATATTTTTTGTAGCATATACTGAGTTTATGTGGGGGTGGGGGTGGGGGGTATGTGAGCTTACCCAACGACGAAGAATGAGTAACCACTGAGGTGATAGCTCTGAACGATATCCTCAGTGTTCTCAAACACGATTTCGATATATGCTCTGTAGTCAGCGCCCATCACGGACGTGTCGAGGTATATCCCTCCGCCTGTGGGATAATCAGAGACACTCCCAACGCGGAAGACGCCGCCTATTTGGAAGAAATCAGCAACTTTCATAGGAGTGTCCGGTGGGACAAAGGAGACGCTGTTGATAGCGAATCTCTGCTTGTTCCCAACCTGTCCCGAACTGCTCGACAAACGGATTGTCCGGGTTGTGTTTATCATGCCATAATGATAAGAGCCTTGCGGATTTGGTCTCGGCCCGCTAGCTGTAAGATTCGTCCTGTAATATAATCCAACAATGCATAACTAATTGAATAAACTATAACCATGGAAAGGCTCAAGCTCAAATTGGTGTAATTTTTTACATACCGGATGGACCGGGCCTGGTTGAGCGACCAATCGACCTCGATGGTAGGCCCCCAAGGCAGGGGTCCAGAAGCGGGTTGGCTTGAGCCGGCGTAACGGAGGAAGGCGGTGGATAAGAGGACTGGAGTGGTGAACCGGGTGGATGCCACAATGTAGTAGTCGTGTGGCGGCTGGTCAGCTGTGACGAGCACGGATGAGCACTGCCCAACATGCAGATCAAGGGACGAGTAGCTGATCTGCAATGTGTGTGTCCCCTCCACCTCGACTACTTTCATCTTGTGGTCTTGGATTCGGAAATTGAGGGAGCTTTGCAGTCCCACGTTGCATATTCTGAACCTGTAGGTATTTCCTGTTTCAAGGTTTACATTTTTGAGTGTTAAGAGGGCTAGACACACGAGCACATATATATTGGACAATATCCTTATACAAATTAAAATATGCACGAAAACACTTCTCCACAGTTCAAAACTGACATTTATTGTAAACACGCGATGAAATATCTAAGGTGTGTTTCTTTCCATGAGTTTTGAAAAAATTTGGTTTGCATGAAAATAATGTTTGATAAGATGTATTTGTGCGGAAAAAAAATAAAATGTATTTTTTTCGAAAAATATTGAATTCAAATAGTAAATAGTAAAATATGGAAAAACTTATAAAGAACAGACCCTAAATACCTAATTTTTACAAAAAAAGAAAAAATAATAGGAGGCTTTATATTATTCTAGGAAAGACTATTTAAAATATTTTATTCATTAATATGTCATAATAAAAGAGAGTTATTATACAATTTACCCATATGGCTATATATATAGAGCGAGAGAGAGAGAGAGAGACCTTGTTGAACTGTGTAAGAGGTGATGTTAGGGCCACGGCCATTGATGAGAATTCCATCAGGAAATGGTAATTCGTTGCCTCCATCAAGAATTGCCTTGAGGTCCTGCGTGTACAGTAAACCATGCACTGAATAAGTGAGTTACACACACAGTAGCTCCTTTAGTCTATTTAATCGTCTAATTAGGTTTTTAATTCCAGACTATCTATTGACTATTGGTAAACAGAGTGTTGGTTTCATTTATTTATTTTTTATTAAATGGGGCAGCAATGGTCAAACTTTGCAGCTCAAACAGTCCTAGAGTTACCGACACTAGAACTAGGGGTGATTCACACGAGATCCCTGGACTCCAACACCAGATGGATCCACACCGTTCATGCAGACAACTGAACGGCCTAGATCCATCTGATGCTCCTACTACAATTAAACTTTCCCACAGCAAGCATCCCACGTTGCAGCTTCTGACAAAACCATCTACCATTGGACAAATCAACAGAGGTCCTCTGACAAGCATCATTTACTTCTTTTGTTTTTTTTATTTCCAAATCTTAGATAAATAAAAATAAACAAAACCCAGGAATAATGAATATATAAATCAGAACTTACAGTGTGATTAGATTTGTACCAATCTCCCACCAAGACAGTGAAATCATCAGCGGGGGTGTCGAAAGGGACAGGAATCATAGGCCTGCTTAGGATCCTGATTCCACCAAACCCACCAGCGGCCTTATGGAAGGCCAACGAAGGGAAGTAGAAGAAGCTCCCGATTTGATCCTTCATTTGAAGAATGTATGTGAAATTCCTCCCTGGTGGGATCGGGCATGTCGTCCCATACACTCCGTCTTCATATGAATTTCTCCTGTTTTGGATCCCATTCCTGCGACATTGTTAGCAATTCTGGTATTAGCAGATCGGAGTGAATTTAGGTTTTAGGGTTTTCTGAAAGTGACCACGATTCTGCATGAAATGTCAGTTTCAGGGAATCAATTCAAGACAAGTCTTTTTCTTGCTTACTTTGTACTAATATTCGTAATTAGCAAAGTAATTATTACACAATCAAGAATAACAGAGGGCAAAGAATGGGAGCATGATGGAGGCAGCAGCTGCCTTTCCAGCTGCTGTCCACTAACTAATATTTATGGACTTATTTTTCATAAATAATTTATGGCATTGCTTTTGAAGATAAAAAGCTTTCTAAGATCAAATCTGTGGAAAAAAGAGGTTCTTCTGGGCAGATTTACTATGCAGAGAGGCAAGTAGGCAACAACCCATGTGAGAGACTTCTTTTACATCTCTTAATTTTGGGAAGTCCAAAGAATTTCCCTTTCCTATCTACCTATATTAAAGTCGAGGCCTTCAAATTAGTAGGTGAAAATTTATTGCCACAATGAAATTGCAACAATCAAAATAAAGAACGAAAGAATAATGTTATCCTGTCCTCGTTCTTCGCAAATTTTGAAATTTGGACACCTTTCTGTAACATTCAGGACCCCAGATTTCTTCAAAAGCATGTGTATTTTTTCACTCCCCAACGAGATTGCAAATTACTAGCATTAATCAAAGTTTATAAATCATCTATTCCATGAAGATTAGAACAGTAGAGACAGAAAAAGAGAGGAAGAAAGACCAACATATATATATACTGCAAAAATGAAGAAAAGAGAGAGATGAAGGCTTCTTACCAGTGAATAAGGAAAGGTTCATCCAAGCTGTTGAAGACATTAACAATGATGTTGTCATTTGTGACCGAGTAGATATCAGGGCCTGGAAACTGCCCATTTATCAGAATACCCTGCAGGAAAGAAAGAACAAACAGCAATTCTCAAGGCAAGAGTTGGGCAGCAGTTAAAGAAGGTAAAGAAAATCCAGGAGAAATGAATCAAGCAAACCTGTTGGGGGACTCCAAGAGGGTAGATGGTGCCATAAGTGATATTCCAGGTGAAGAATCTGTAAGGGTCATCTGCAGCAGCAATGGGAAACAGCACAAATACGAACACAAGTCCCAGCATTACCAGCTGCTGCTGCTGCTTCATTAGCATTTCTGGAACAATACTAGATTTTAGTACCTGTGGAAGCTTGGCTGGTATGGCCATGGCTTCCTTTTGGCGGTGGTATTTATTTGGAGGTATGTCTAGTGTACTGCCTCAGTGACGACTGACTGACTAGCTGTACAAAAAAAAATTGATTAGGGGCTAAGGAAATTAACAAATAATAAATAAATGAATAAAGATAAGGGGTGTCGGTGGTGGGCCCAGGGGGGTCCCAAGGGGCTTCATCTTCTTGGCCTCCAATTGGAGGGAAATTAGAACAGGAGAAGATGTCAAGTTGCAACTACTTCCCTGAAATATAAAGAAAATAAAGAAAACAGAGATCTGAAATTTTATTAGAGGATTTCTGAGTAAATTTTCTGTCTGATTCTGAAAGGTGGGCAAAACCAGCAACAGTGTACCCTCCATTTTATTGGCACTGCATGTGCCTTGACTGCAGTTTTGCTCCCAAACAACACTTCCTGCAATAATATTGCCACCATTTCTACAGTATCTTAAATATATTAAAACTCTGGAGCAACAGGCAACTGCAATCCTATAGTTTGTTCTTCACAATGGAAGCATCCAAATACAAGTACTTTTATATTATAGAGCATGAAAATGTATATATATTTTGGTAACTGGTATAAGAATATATTTCAAATTGACCTACAAATCTATTTAATAAGCAGGCCAAAACAAAGTGGCAGTATGTAATAAAATGGTGAGTTGTCCTATGTGGCAGGATTCAATCCTTTCATACTACCAATGAAGGCAATGGAGTGAGATTGTCATAGATTAGAAATCGAGTGTTCCACACTGCTTGCTCTGCAATGTCTTTGTTCCATTAGTTTCTTTAGTGTCCCTACTGCGTTCGGCGTCGTAACCTCTGCTCCGCCCAATGCCCATCTTAGGTAAACCACGGTTAAGTCCCTCAAGTAAAACACATGCTTTACACCATTTCTGCAGGGATATAGGTTGTATAATACATAAGAGACCAACATAAACTACCAACTGAAGAATGCATGGTCAAGCAACCAATGGTTATCATAAAATACAAATCGCATATCGCGCTTTACACCAATACTGCAGGTACAATGTTGTATATAATATGCAAGAGATCCAGATTACTGACCAAGTAAGCATCTTCAAACTACCCAAGGCATTAATAACACAAACATTTCGATACAATCCTTTTTCAATACTTCGTAGATTTGCAATAAAGTTTCATATACTTCATAAGACAGATTGTTTCTACATGCCCAAAATAGGATCACCACGGCCACATTTCAACTGTAAAACAGCTTCAATAACTTGCAACTATATCGAAACCTTCACACTAGAATTTTTGTACGAACTCCTAAAAATACAATTGGGATGGTGATGTTCGCTCTATAGTTCATTGTTAGTGATGAGGACAATGCCACAATGAGATATGACTGATAATGATGAGCTTAGCCATAACTTCCATAACAATGTATATGAAAGAAAGGGAATTCAAAAAGGACAAGCTAATAACCAAGACAGAAAGGCAAAGCACAACCTTTGTGGTAACTCAAATACAAAACAATAATACAAGAATACCATCAGGCAAACCATTCATTTATGTGCTTTCTTATGAGAAGATATAATCTCACCTGGCTGGAAATGTAACCACATTTTTCACAGTTTCCCTGCTCTGGCATTTTTGTGGAAGCAGAAATCCTAAAGTCCTCCCCTGATTTTATAATGTCGAGTATAGCTCTTGGCCTAAAAATAATCATCCAAAAAATGGATTGCAATGAAATTAGTAAGACAAATAAAACTCTAAGGCATGGAAGCAGACAGCTTTTCTAACCTCATCCTCTCCAAATCTTTAATAAATTCCCGAACAAAGCCTCTATAAGCATTTGGAGAATAAATGCCTGCAAGTTCAAAGGTCAATGGGAAGCCAAAAAGCAACAGTGATTAGAAAATTTAAGATTTATATTGACCAGTTCGGTGAATTAGACAGCCCTCTCTCAAACTTTTCAAGAGGGGCGCCTAAATGGTAAAAAGGACGCTACAATTTACAATACATCTACATCATACCAAAGACCTAGAAAGATCTACAAGACACATAAATGAATGGAATAAACTAGGCACTGAGAACTTACACTCAGTAGAGAAGTAATCCAATCGTTTGAAGTATGCATACGTAAAAGCAGGTTAAGGGCATCATTTCAATATTACTAGGTATGTGTAAACTAAATAGAGATCACTGCTGCAAAGACGTTAATAAAAAAGAAATACAAAAAAGATAGTAAACTAAGTTTTTATCAAATCAAGGATATATCACAATTTCCTTCTCATAGGTGTACTTGAAAGGCTTGCATCTTGGAATAGGTCCATCTTCACCAGTTGTAATAGAGGTACATCTGCTCAGCCTGGCATGTAAATCATGTTGAATTACAAAGAACTTCATATAGAGGGAAACCAAAAGAAACACCTATTACAGCTATATTCAACAATTTTTACTCGAACTTTCAAATCCATATCTGAACAAATTACCTTGCTATATCACCTCTTAATATATTTAAGAGGACTGTTTCGGCGATATCATCTGCATTATGCCCCGTCACTAGCTTGTCTACTTTTAAAAGTGCAGCACCACGATCAAGGGCCTTAAAAGCACAGCAGTATTACAAATGTTAAATTTGTAATAGCAAATTACCAAGTCTAATACATGAAAACCTGGAATCCCGGTGGACATTTACTTGCAAAATAAACTAATTCAGAGGGACTCAACAACCAAAACAAAACAAATTTCAAATTTATTGTTGATTCAATTATAAATTGACAATTTTCTTTTCATTATTCAATGTCAGGACTATGAGTATAATATCAACTTAGAACCAGCAGATTATAGAAAGTACTGGTTAACGAGCATGTTCTGATAAAAGCAAGGAAAAAGAATCGTAGAACATAAGTTTGAACATAAGACTCTAACAAGAAGTAAATTTGTTACCTGACGCCGAAAAACACCACAAAAGGTACAGTTATTCTTCAACCCTATAAGCTTCACAATCTCATCCATTGTCCATCCATATAATTCTTTGTATGAAACAACTTTGAGAGGAAGTCCATACTGAACAAGATATAAAATACTTAACACTGGAACTGCACCAAGTCAATCTGTAGCTTGACTTTGCAGTAACTTAAGTTTGATCAATGCAAATGCAAGCAAAGAAGCAGTTAGTTCTATACCTGAACTTCATTTCTCTTGACAGTTTCAAGCGAGTCGTCTCTGTAACCAGTGATGCCTTCGTCAACAGAAAGCAGGAAAAGATCTAAGCCATAATTATGTCTTCGATTCAATTCCGATAAGACATAAGCAAGCACCGTGGAATCTGCATCAACCAAATAAATCTCATTTGTAAAGCTAATACACTGTAATGCATGTCTTGCAAGGGATTATCCTTTCAATTAAGCACGCGATTTAAGTGAGTTGCAATCACTACACAATCAACATACAGAACAAATTCAAATACATCTCACCTTTTCCTCCGGATGCTCCAATAGCGACGCGTTCGCCAGGATTGAAAAGATTATTATCAACTATAGCTGAATGAACTTCGTCTTCGAAAACTGCATAAAAACACTCCTTGCATATCTTCTCGAAAGATTAGGGAAACGAGAACCAACAATCACTCAGCAAAAGCGCTCGAAAATGATATCAGACAGAACAAAAATACGAGTTAAAGCCAAACCATACTTGCTCCAGGGTTTTAGGACGTTTCAGAGCCGCGCGTCTTTCATTACAGACTGTACAGAGCCTACCACCGCCTCGAGGCTTCGTCCCCGCCGTCTCCAACGCCATCTGAACTTCAATTCTCCGCAGAAGACACTCCGCGATTCCGACTGTTCCCGGAGAACGTACGAAAATTCCGCCGAGGACGGCGAATGGCGCGGCCGTCCGTTTGGGTCGTACCTAAAGGCCATGCTTTCAGATTCGGGTATCGGACCACCCGAATCCAGATTCGGGTAAACATACTGAATTAACATTCGGGTACTCGGACCACCCGAATCCGGACCTCTGAAATGGGCCGGTCTTTAAAGGCCATATCTTAGGCTCAAAGGACACTGCTTCCGTACAACAATTGGAGGCCCAACCATGAAATAATTTGGAGGCAAAAGAATATCTATATTAAAATTAGGGAACAATTTCAATTTCGCCCCTTCTTCGCCGGCCGTCGGTTTAAAGTCGTTCTCCCTGTAGTTAACTTCCGGCAGACTGCTCAGCTCGGCCGCCGGCGAACGAATTGAAGTTGGGAGAATATGTGAAGGAAAATTTTTCAAATTATATAGAGGCTCGTTGGGAGATAAGAGGATGCTGGCGCGATCGAATTTGGCGGAGCAGCTGAGAGAGTATCAAATTCGATCCAAACACGACTGCGCTTCCATATCGTTTTTGGCATCCACCTCGAATCTCGCCTCTTCTAGGTACTTTTATTTTTATTATTTTTTTCTAAAAAAAAATTGTGGAATTTTGTGTGTTAATGCTGCAACTTGATTGTGTTGATGTTAGGCGCGATTTTTTCTGCTAAAAATTTGGAATACTGCACAAGTACAATTTGAAATAGGGAATCGGCTAGTTTGATCTTGGCTTTGACTGGACAATCAATCAGTTGTAACAACTTGAGGTTTTCTTCAATTAATGGATTATTGCATTATACTTTGATTATCCATACCAATACCATTGCTGGAACTTGGCTTCATCATGCTTTCAGAACTGTCAATAAGAAGCATTAGTTGTTACAACTGATTGATTGTCCAGTCAAATTTTACCTGTTTCTTCGGGTATGTTTGTTTTCATGGGTTTGTGGAAAATTCGATTTGGGTTTGGTATTAAAATAGTGCATGATGTAATTTTTTTTTTCGGGAAACCTGGATTTTGGTGGTAAAAGAAACAAACCCTTTTTATTGAACTCCATGTATTGTAAGGGATAAGAAAAGTGGGTAGAAATGGAATGTGTGACAAAAATAACATGTGCTAGTTGTTTTTTTGTGTCTAGTGATCTCTCGTCTCAAAAGATCATCTTGCTGGAACTCTATGTGCAAACATATGTAATTGGAATCTGGAAATATATCATATTACCAATCCATTCATGGACCTTCTTGTTGCATTTATCCACTCTCAGATTTTAGATGTCATAACCAATTGTTGCGTGGATATGAGAACATGATTAACCCGAAGCAAGTCAATTCAATGGATTAAGGGAATGCTTACAAGATGAAGATAGATTAATCTATAAAGTAAACATTATATATTTACACATAAAGATGAAGTAAATCATTTTAATGGGACATTATTTTGGATCATGTGTTAAAAACTTCACTACTTTCACGCCGATGAATGGTTTCTTGTCTTTCCTCTTAAAGATAATAACTTGTCAATATGTAAAGCTGAGTAGTCGAGGTTTGCATTGTTTCCTTTTTTAGCTTCTTTTATGCAAACTGTTAGCTTTTACGCTGCTACAGGGTTGATGTCGCAATCTTTGTCATATGGGAGCTTGTCATTCTAGCATTCCTTGTTTTCTCGGCTGTTTCATTGTATTTTCAGCATCTAAGGTTTGCGGTTATCTTGTTGTGTACGGCAATGCTGTTGCTGCTGTGCATAAAAATGACTAAACAAGCTAAGCTGGCTCGAAAACAAAAAAGAAGGATGCTTCTTCCTTTATCTATGTAGATGTCAATAGATTGTATACTTGTCAAAAATAAAAACATCTTTTGTAGATTATGAGAATTCAATGTTACATGTGAAGAATGTAAAGTTCATGTTTATCATTGAAGTCTGTTCCATTCACAGTTATAAATGAGTTTGTTAGTTACTTTGTGTGAAGTTAATGTGAAATTAATCATTTGTGGGTCATGATTTAATGTTCATAATTCTTATACCAAGTATCACTTGAACAACCTTTTATTTAATGTGTCAACTTCAACAAAAAATTGTTAGTAACATTTATCTAGGGTTTGAACACTATATATATATATATATGTATCTTACTATCTATTACTTTTTATATAATTCCTTGATTCATGCTTAATAAAAATCCTGGTCTTTCGGTGCTACCAATAAATAAAAGTTAAAAAGTGTTTTTTTAGCCGTGTAACTGATCCTTTATTATTTTAGTCTTGTACTTAAGTGGAGCAAGTCGCAAACTAGTCCTATAAGTGAAAATTTTTCGCTGTTTTAGTCCTCCGATGCTGGAGACACTCGCGTAGCTCGCCGGAAGCTACGTGTCCGCCAAGTGTTATTTTTTTTTTCATTTTTTTTCATTTTTTTTAAAATTTATTTAAAATTTATTTTAATTTTATTTGCCTTTTTTCATTAGGTTCAATTTAAAAAAATAAATCCACGTGTCCGCCAGGTAGGTGTCGCTGACTTGGCAGGATTCTTGGCGGACACATGGCTTTTGGCGAGCCACGCGGGCGTCTCCGGCGCCGGAGGACTAAACCAACGAAAATTTTTCACTTATGGGACTAACTTGCGACAGACTCCATTACGAGACTAAAATGATAAGGGGTCTAGTTATGGGACTAAAAAAACAGTTTACCCGTAAATAAATTTTGATCAAAGTGGATAACTAAATTTTTATGAGTTTCATTTTGTTTTCATACCGATCTTGTGATATTTTTATAACATATTCTTTGCAGCATTGATGCTCTTGCACATATTCATCATAAAAGTTAGCACCTTATAATGGAAAAGCTAAATAAACAAAGATCGACGCATACTCAACCACGAAATAACGAAAGTGATTTCAAAATTTTATTTGTATCTACAAACAACACATCTCGACACCTATGTAATCCAAAGCTGTCCTAAATTCCAAGATTATTGAAACGACAACAATGTTTGAGACATCATTGTGAGTAGTTCATTTGCCTCTATGTTATACTTTTGACATCTACGGTAAATTATATCCGGAGAAAAATAGATACATTTCTTCAAATGCATCAATTATATCAGAATATTGTAACAAATTTTAAACAAGCTCCCAAGTATTGGCTGCCTTCAACCAGTCTCACCATTCCAAAAATTATGACTCTAAAAATACAGTTGGTACAGTAATTCCAACCCACAATTCTATTTTCAACTCCAAAAAAATATTATCTAAATATTCTTTAAATATTCTATTTTATATATTATTTTTAAACAACTTTTTATATTAAAAAAATAAAAATATACACAATTAAAATATAAAAAATTACAGATTGGTCCTTGTAGGGACCAATTTACAATTTGTAATTTTTTTTTTTAAAAAATCATAATTGGCGTTGCTACGGTGCAATACCAAAAATAGTGTTGCACTGTAGCAAACACCATACAAACACAAAAAATGGGATGGAAATGAAGTTGTGTTGGAGAAGCATATCTCCAACTATGGAGCTGCAATATTGGCGTTGTGTTGGAGAAGCCTTAGAAACATATCATGCCAATCCACCTTAGTTAAGGTGGTAATGAATTCTCACCTCATCCAATTCACAAACAAACAATTACAAACATAGATATGTGCTGCACTTTCCCCATCCAATTTATGCAAATCTCTACAAATTAAGCGTAAATTAGTTCAATACTTCACTCAAAATATCCAAACCATAAAGGATATTGCCTTAAATGAAGCAGAAATCCAAATAATTTTTTCAGCCCATTAGAAAATAAGTATAATTCATTTACCATTTGATTCCTTCTCTTCCACTTCCAAGGCCTAATTTTCTAAATTTCCGCTTTCCACGGAGTCACAGTATTATAATCCTTAATTATATTTATTTCTAACAATCTAAGATAAATCAATACTTTAAATTATATAAATATTTTATTATTTAGAAAATTTCACAATTGAGTGTTATTAATAATTTAATGCAATAACATTTAATTTTAATACTTTAAAAAATGTATGTTATTGTAATTTTCAAATTAGATATTTGATTTCACATACTAACTAAAAATGAAGATTATAACCATCAAGTAATTACTCATGAAATAATAATAAATATTAATAATCATCATCTAATTTTCTAGAAGATTATATAAAGTGGACGAATATTTAAAATTTTGACAATTCTAAAGCCTTAATAAAAACGTCACTTTCCTTATATACAACTAGGGATTAGGTGAATATGTTAAATATCTCATTGATTACATAGGAATATTAATGGATATTTAGGATCAAACTTTCATAATCCTCTAATGATTATATCTAGATTCACTTTAAATTAATAAAATCAATGATAAGATTTTGATGTGTTTATTGCTATATAATAAACCTGCATTCATGCAGGGTTGTGAACGACACATTTATGAAATTTCTGTAGTACGCTTTGTTATGTCGAGTTTGGCAACCTCTATGCAACATAAACTTCTAAACATTCAATTTGATTATATTTTTCGTGTTTGTGAATTTTTACCCTTCCACTTATTTTAGTATTTAATTTCTTTTCTTACATAGATGCTTTTAAAGTTTCAAAATTGTACACAATTTATAGAATGTATCTGCACAAATCTGTTTTACATACATAACAATATTTTTTCTGTATTTTTTGTCTCTTGACAAATGAACAATTTTTAGATCAGTCCGGGTTCTTAGGCAAATTTTACATTGTCAATTAAAATCTAAATGAGTAAATGTAAAGTTTATAACTTCTTTATACATATATATAAAGAAATAATTTAGAATCATGGAAGAGCTTAAATTCATGATTCTTTATTTACTTTATCTAGATTTTAAGAGACATTGGAAGATTTGCCTAAGAAACCCAGTCTGATCTATATATTCTATTGTCAATGAGAAATCATTTTTCAATATTTGAATTAGTAACAAATATCCTTAAAAGGAAAAGTAAAAATATAATAATTAAAGAAGAAGCATTTTCTTGCTTTTCGGATTTTACACAATATATGTTCATATTTTACAATTTTGGCATTGAAATTTTCAAGAAATATTATAGAAATGGTTGTGTTGGAAATTCAATTGAGCTTACTCTCTCTATGTTTAGTAATTTTAGTAGATTACATGATGCATGTGGAGTACAAACATGGTTACAACTATTTTCTATTGAAATTAATTTTTGTGTAATGTATTTTGTCAATGTTCAGGATATCTTGCTTCAGGTAGAAAACATCATTGCCACTCTATTTGCCAATAAATTATTTCTTCGGATCTGGTTGATATCAGGAGCAAGATCATAAGCATGTCTCGTGAAGATTTTCAATTGTATGTCCATTGATGTTTCTTGTTAAAAGGTTTTATGCTCTAAACTTATGCTGAAAGTATCCCCATATAATTATGTGGGAAATTTAGGGTGTGTTTTGTTTAATGTTTTAGTTCGAGTTGTTTTTTATGTAAGGTGTGAGATATTTTATCAATAATATAAATAAGTAATATTTTGTGTTGAAGTTTTTAGTATATATATTACTCCTCCATCCGCTAAACTTATATTCGGTTCTTTTGTAATTTACAAAGAAAACGATGATAAATTTGATGGACGAAAGAAGTATTTATATTATGTGGATGTGTGTATATATTGTATCTTTTTATTAATATTAATAAAAAATTATTGGGTGAATAAACCATTAATTTTCTTCCGGCCATGATTAGGGAGCTGGACGATAATAACTCCTCACATATCACGGATTTGTCTGAATGATGAACCAATGGCATTTGACTACCAAATCCTCAACCATTACACCCCACCTTGTAGAAATTGAGGTGTGCATTGAATCAGTAAGGGGTTGGGGACTACTAATTTTGTCACAAGCGCTTTCTGTGTGCCTGTGGATTTGTTTTTGGACGAACAACAGCCCAATAACGCTGAAGGTTAATATATGTTTGGTACCATGAATTCTCATTGTGGATATTTTTTTTGAAACTTTCTGTTATGCTGAAATGATCTTAACTTGGATTCTTCTGAATTTTGGTGGGCATTTATTTCTATTCTAGTTTGGTGCACGCATAACTATTGTAAATGATGTCAATCACACACAAAATATGCCATCAAACAATGTAAATACCGTATTGTTAAATGAATAGAAATTGCACTATTATTGCGATCATTTTCACTTATATAAATAAAATTAAATTCTACAATATTCTGCGGATAATATTGATAGAAAAACTTCTCATTAACTCAAAACTAATTGAAAAAAAATCTGTATTAGAGCTCAGAAAAGCTTACATGCCGGACTAATTCATCCTCTCCATAGCTATAAAATACGTAAGGACTACCGGTTCCACAACAAGGGAATGAACAGGACCTAGGTGCTCCGATAATAGTGTTGTTTCTACCAAACCATTTTCCACCAACTGTCCGAGTCGGATCTACACAGAAAATCAAGCCCCGATAATAAACACATTTGAGTGTTTGTCTTATATTTTACATTATAACAAAATGATTTGAATAGAATATCCTCAGAGACACTCAACCATGCTCAAAAGTACATATTTCTTTATCCAAAACAAAACTCAAACAAACAATTCCATGCTAGTGAAATGATGCAAACAATAGTTAATCACAACACAACATTGTCTCGGTGCAAAAAGTTGCTAACAATTTGATCAACTACTCTCATTTGTCAACACCTGTATTGAATCAAATTTACTTTAATCCAATTCTTTCCAATCAATATTGTATTCTTTATGCATAACAGGAAGGATATGACTCAACTTTTTTAGTTTTTTTATGCACATTGCTACTTTAGTTCCAAATTTTTGATTCATGAAAATTCAATTTTAAGCATTAACAAAAGTCAAAATATTTGTACAA